TGTAAATAATAATCAACAAGATTTATAGTTCTTTTTCCATTTATTAAAATTAACCTATACATATGTATATTGTTTATTTACATGCTAATGTCAAATCTTGACCATGACCTTGTAATAGTTCTTCTCTTCTTTATTAAGGTGTAACTTAATTAATTAGGTCAATAATTAACCTATTTATTGGCAGTTTAGTCATCTTAATCAGATACATCTATTTTATTGGTATCTGAGGTTTTATCTCTCTCTGGGTTCTCTGTCTTTTTCTTTTTGGAGGTTGGTTTCTGGGCCATGTGGTCTAATTTAATTTAAAACGAATATTTCGGATTTTCTACCACCCCTGAAAAAGAATTACATCAAAATCATTTAAATAAGTATTGCTTTTAAAAATCAGGACGATTTTTTATTACACACAAAGTGGATTGGCGATACTTAATAAAAAAAAGGCCCTACCTTATTCGGTAAGTCACCCAGACACAATTAAAATTTGTATGCATCTCTATATCTTGCTTATTTCTGCTTTTAGGCCTAATACGTATAATACGTGTAATACATATAATTCTTATAGTAATTACAGTACTTCCAGTAATTATAGGACTTATATAAGCATATTATTATTGCTATCCCTTCCATTGATATCACCCGCATGGCAAGGTTCTTCTAGGCTTAATACAACTGCTTAGTAGCTGCTTTCTGGCATTTATTTGGAATATCGCAGTGCTGCCTGTGGCCCATCGATAGATCCAGGAGGCTTCGAGAAAGCAAGTAAGATCTTTCCATTTCACTATCTAACTGCTTTAACAAAAACCCGCTGCTTTTCACAAGACCACACACACCTTAAAAGGAAAACAAATATTGAGTTATTATATATCATAAATATTTATTCTAGTGACTATCTAACAATTTACATAAAGATTACAATAAAAGGATATTTGTACTCACCTTCTCCCTGTAAACAAGTAGTACTACTTGGGCTTGAGGGGTATCATTCTGGCTAAGACCCATGTAGTAAATATATACTTTTCACCAAATATTAATTGATATTCTTAGTGATACACCAGATTGTATAAAAGACACGTTGTATATAATATTTCCTGTAAAGTAAGACATAACAGTCATTTGGGTAAGAACGTTAGTAAAAACTTTTGTAAATAGAGTTACCTGATTTAATTTTCCACGTCCCAACTCTCCGGATGAAATATATAACCTGAGCTAGCTTATATAAAATTTCACCCCCTATCAGACGAGGGAGTAACATAATAAAACTTATTGTGTCATCAAAACGATGCTAAGGCCTATGTATCGGACGACCAACGTTATTGGAATACTTATCTACCAAAGATGCTATGCTATAAGATGCTCGAAACATGAGGTAACGGGTGTAACTCCAAATTTAATAAATTTTGGACGTGGAATTGTTCTAAATGGTTCGGAAGATGAAGATTTTCTAGCATAGAACAACAATCTGAGGCCTTAGGAAAATTATTTAAAGAGGTAAAGGAACGACTTAAGATAGCATATGAAAAGGCTCGGAAGCCATATAATTTACGCCATAGAAACAAGAAATTTACATTAGGTCAAACTGTATTTAAGCGCAATTATATCTTATCGGATGCATCCAAATACTTTAGCACAAAACTGACACAAAAATATCAGGAGCATTTCACAGTTACTAAGGTCGTTTCCCCATGGTCGTATGAATTGTCTGACGACAAGGGCAAATCTGTTGGAATTTGGAATTCCAAGGAATTCATCATCCAGACGATACGAATGATGTGTACTATTAGTTTTCTATATTTTTTTGTGTTTATCTTAATGATAAAAGTTCCGGATTTTTTTTTTGTAGGTGAGGAGGTGTGTTACGAGCTAAAAGTAATTCAAATTTAAAAGTACATTTAAGTAATTTTTGTTATTATCTTGTGCAAGAGAAAATCTTCTGGTATTTGATTTAACGCATTGACTGCCAAGCCAGAATCGTTATAATTTTCCTTAGGTCAACCGTGTTTTTCTGTTTACCGGTTATGTTCGTTTTAAACAATTTTGATAAAAAATTGTATTTTTTCTGTTTTTGGTTTTTTTTAATTTGATCTGTCATACATATAGAGATGGTCGATACATCAATACCGGTTACTTTTCACCGGTGATTTGAAAATCACCGGTGCTACCAGTAATTGAGTTTTATTCTTAACAGGTCCAGTCATTTTAACTCGATCGGTGAAACGTGTTTCTTCTGTGAACGCGTTAACCGATATTTTTTATCCGTTGAAGGTTTAATTCTATGTAGGCGCTATTCACCTACGTACATAGCCAGTTAAATAATTCACCTGGGTCTATCTGATCATGTTTATATAGCGATCGACACCAATTAAGCGCAAAATATTTATCTATTTTGGGTTGCAGTTTTCTGTTCTCGGCTAGGGTTTAAATTTCGCAGGAAACTGTACTACTGTAATTTGAGTAGGTAAGCATCGCAAAGATGGCGTGAAATATCATGAAATTACCTACTATAGGATGGTTTTTACTTAGTTTTTATTTTAAGAGTGTTCTCGGTCTTTGGCAGTTAGTCTAGTATTTTGCACTATGTCAGCTTGAGTGCATTCATTATTCACTTACCTGGATATTAATAATATAGTTTTGAGAATGTTAAAATCAAAAAGGATAAAGGTTAAAGGCATTTGGAACTTTTTTACCCCTATTGATCACACTTATTATGCAAAACGTAACATTTTCCAAAAAAAAAATTGTCCTTTAAAACTACTAATTCAAATTAAAAAAAAAACATATAAAATCAAATCATCCAACTGTGTCCTTGGAAGAAACAGAAATAAGCCATCAATAATTTGAGACAACTAAACCTCATACTTCAGGATCAAAAAACTCCAATCAAATCGTATCTAGCTTAAAAATAGTTACTAAGGTTAGTCAGCCAAGCATAGCTTTTTATATACCTAAAAGCATTAGTGCGTTTACAACAAAAACAATTAATGATAATCTTTCAGTTATTTACACTTGCCTATCAACCATTCAGTATTGTGAAGGATAAGGGTTTCAGGGATTTTGTGCAGGCCCTGAATCCGAATTATAAACTGCCTGACTTATGTATTACATTTACATGTAACCCAAAATGGTCCGAAATCAAGAGGGAATTGCTACATAGCCAAACACCAGTTGATAGACATGACATAACTGACAGAGTTTTTAAACAAAAATTAAAATATCTCATAAATTTCTTACTAAAGCATTGTGTGTATGGCCGAGTCCGTTGTTGGATGTACTCTGTAGAATGGCAAAAGCGTGGATTGCCACATGCGCACATTTTAGTCTGGTTAGTGGACAAAATAAGGCCAGATCAGATTGATTCCATAATTTCAGCTGAAATTCCAGATGAAATAGTTGACCCAAAATTGCATGCAGTAGTTACCAAACACATGATACATGGACCATGCGGGCTTTTCAACTACAATTGGTCGACGGCAAGTGTTCCAAGCGATACCCAAGAGACCTGCTTGCTGAAACCATAACGGGAAATGATGGATACCCATTGTATCGTCGGCGATCAGTTGCGGAAAATGAGCGATTGGTAGTTGTGAAGGTAAGAGGACAAAATGTTCATGTAGACAATCGTTGGATTGTGCCATACTCGCCAATATTGTCCAAAGCTTTTGAGACTCAAATCAATGTGGAATATTGTAACTCTGTGAAGTCGATAAAGTACATATGTTAACAAAGGTGGCGATATGGCTGTCTTCGCTGTAACCAATGCAAATGATGAAATATCACAGTACCAGATGGGTCGCTATGTAAGTAGCAACGAAGCAATTTGGCGTATCTTTTCATTTGCAATCCATGAAAGACACCCTACAGTAGTCCATTTGGCAGTGTTACGTGAAATTAATTTCAAATTTATTTTTAACAACTTCTCCATAACCCCTCGTAATACATGTGGATGCTAGTCCTACCATTATCGATTTTTACAAAGCATCGTTCGCGCATGATCTGCTAATATCGGCGCATAGCCCATAGCGGTTCTTTCAGCCACGACTTCATATAAAACCTAAAATGGTGAATTGGTTTTCCCTTTCTGGTCTTTAAACTCAAAAGGTGCTAGCCGTGCCGATAAATTTAATAAAATGAATTGCTAGTAATTATCTTTAATTTGTGTTTATTAAGTGTGAACGTTGGGATAATTGTCAGTGGCTCCAACAAGAAGAGGCTACTCTACCTCCAAGTACTCTCGAACAAGAAGAGGCTACTCTACCTCCAAGTACTGTCTCCAAGAAGAGGCTACTCTACCTCCAAGTACTGTCTCCGAAAAGAGGCTACCTTATCTCCAAGTACTCAAGTACTGTCTCTAAGAAGAAGCTCTAAGATCATTTAAGAAGCTCCAGGCTCTTCCATGAAAACGTATTAAGAAGCTCCAAGCTCCTCCAGGAAGCTCCTAGTTGCCTCTAGCTTTATAAAAAAAGGGAAGTACCGTACAACGTACTAAAATACCACCATTTATCGAAGTATCTTCAGTAAATTTAAACAATCATTGATTCAACTCTATTCACTATTTAATTTGTAGACTTATATAAACTTAATCTTTCACTTTTTTTCATTAAATGTATTAAATTTTCCCACTTTCTTTTATTTGCCAGAACCCATACAGATAACTTTAAGTACCAGAGATGGACTCAATTAAACGGGACATTTAAAATCAGATAAGTTTTCCAAGTAACTGAAAAACTTGGTGGCTCTCAATTTTTTTTTGTTGTTGTCTTATTTTAATATCTTTCATTTTATCTTAAAGTAGATCTTGGCCCGCGAACAGGTCAAGCTACTGTAATTTTATTTGTCCTGGTCAATTATTACATTTACTTGAGAACGATTCGCACTGGGATGATACGCTCAAGGATTCCGCAATTTCTTCATCGTCGCATCAAATTCGTACATTGTTTGCGATTATCATATCGACATGTTTCCCCTCGAATCCAATAGATTTGTGGGTTAAGTATAGAGATGACATGTCGGAGGATGTTTTGCATCGTGTGCGCCGTCAAACTTTGAATCCTACACTACAAATGACTGAAGAAATTTACAATGAGACATTGATCATGATAGAAGATATGTGTTTATTGATGGCAAATAAAGTATTGTCGTGTTTGGGAATGACAGCACCCAATCGTCATATGCACGATGCATTAAACTACGAGTTGCAAAGAGAACAATACGATATTGAAGCATTGGCCGAAACTGTTCGTACAAATGTTCCACACTTAAATCAACAGCAAAGAATTGCGTACGACACTTTGATAGAAGCTGCAAACAGTGAATCTGGTGGAATTTATTTCCTTGCTGCTCCCGGAGGAACCGAAAAAACGTTCTTAATTTCATTGCTTTTGGCGAGGATCAGATAGCAAAATAAGGTTGCTCTAGCGTTGGCTTCATCTGGAATAGCTGCGACTCTGCTAGCTAAAATTAAGTTTCGCAAAGCCGACCAAATTGAAATCAGTACTAATGATCTATAGTCAGAATAACGAAAGATTGACTGTCCACACTATATGTATTTAACATACAATTCCCTTACCCCCACTTTGAGAATTTGAGGGCTTTTAAAGTCATTCTTTCGTTATGCCGACTATATTACATTTTGTGACTGCAATTTTGTCGCGGTCGCGATTCACTTTCGTTGAATTTCGGAACGCGACATTACATCCTACAACGCGCACGCAAATACTATTTTGATAGATATGATTGAATTTGAACTTTGTGCAGCGGTAATAAGATCTATAATTGACTCTTAAACGTTTGTATGGGAAATAGAAAAGAGCTGTTTTTATGGTTTTTATGGTATACCTCCACGAACATTTCAAGACTAAGATAAGATAAATCCGTTCAGCCGTTCTCGAGTTTTAGCGAGACAAACGAACAGCAATACATTTTTGTATATATTGTAATGTAATAAAATATCATGTAGAAAAGGATATGCTTAGCTAGATAAAATAACATAAATTAACCTTTACACTTAATAAATTAAAAATTTACCTTCAGTAAGAATGCATTAAAGCCATCAGAAACTTAATTTTCATAGAGCGATAAAAAGAATACTCGTTTCTATAATTTATAAAGCCTTGTACTTATATGATTCCATGAAAATCTATGTGTCATTACCTAAAATAAAATAACAATCATTAAAAATAAAATAAAATAAATTTTAATCAAAATACAAATTTTTTTCCTCGAATAATTATATTATCACCCTGTTCAGCAAGTTTATAAAGAAAGTTTGACAAACTTGACAATTTTCAAAAAAATTGGTAAAATTGTTGCCAACATGATTTTATATGAGGAGATTTGTCTAAATTAATAAAAATTGACAACCAGAATAAAGAAATTATAATAACAGTAGTATGAAATAATTTCACAAAAATAATCGGACAGTGATATTTTAAATAAAGTCTTTTAGTTAAAATAGTAAATCAAATAAATAATAGATCACTAAAAGCAAATCGTTTTGATTGGTTAAATTTAAAAAGTTATTACTTGATCAAAATTGGTAACTAAGGGGTTGTTGATTAAGAAAAAAAAAATGGTGGTAGAACATTGAAAAAAGATTAAATGTATGAAAAATTTTTGAATCCCGTAAAATTATAAAAAAAAAGAATCAATTGATCAGTTATCAAGAAACTAAAGAAACCTAGTGTATTTGTAATGGACAAATAGAGCAAGGTATTTATTTACTCACCTCAAAAGTGCGTTGTGCCGGCTTAGTGCGTCACAGGACAGTTTTTTTTAACACATATAAAAGATCCCGCATCTTAGCAGATGATGGTAAATTGACTTTGTTTTTATTGGAGAAGAACTTTACCACGGCTGAGAATACAGCATTCCTACTGCTGGTGATTGACCTGCAAAGAAAAAAAGGACAAGAAGGACAATCTCAGTGATTATGCTTAAAGGTATTGACTGTATAATTATATTTAAATTGATATTTCTTACCTTTTGAACATATAAAGTTTTAATACAAGACAACTTCATTCGATATACCAATCATTGTAGTTTGAGGTTATATTTCTTAAACACGAACAGAAATATTCAAAGACATTGTTACCAATTCAGGTCTAATATAACTATGGGCCATTTGAGCTACAGATTGTGTAGTAGAATGAACTGGTTTTGTGTAATAATTTAAATTTAAGTTCTTACGTTACTCAAGTATGATAGAAGGAATGAATGAGTTGATATTTGACTAACCTAATTGTCTATTTAACTGTATTGTCTTTGGTTTTTCTTTTCAAATAAATGTGTATTGTTGGTTGCATAACTGATTGATTAATTTTGAAGATCATTGCCGTTTCGCAAAATTTGATAGGGGAGATTGGGACAATCTCTTATTTGCTTCTTGAAACCACTATAAATCCCTGAGAATTATAAATATTTTATGAAAGGTAATAACATATTAAACAAATAACTGAGTCTCGTGCAAATTTAATAGAAAAGGAATGTTAAAGGCCTATATAGGTAAGTTTCTGAAGTGCTTATTATATAACATTAATAATATTGTCATTGGCGTCTAATATAAATTTATTTTATGAGTTAGCTGAAAGGTATTATTTTCTACACTAAGAAAACAAATTTATATAAAAAAATATTTTCTTAAAAATAATTAAATCATACATACATATCATTACAATATATAGATATAAAAGTCATTTAATTCAGAACCTAGGAGATGTGCCATGGTTTAATGAAACTAAATTAATTAGGTCAATATAATAAATAGAAAGTATTTTTTTTCTGTAATTTAGTAATATATTCTACTTACAATTTGATGTCTATAACACTAAATGAATATATATTTTAGGCAATTGCAAACAAAGGAGCACCTATTGACAACTGTTGGGGGTTTATGGATGGTACAATAAGACCAATTTGTAGACCAACCTACAAAGGCAATATTACTAAGGTTACAAAAAGATTAATTGTGTGAAACATCAATCACTTTTGTGCCCTGATGATAATTAAAAACATAAATTTAAAAAAATTAACTTATAATTTTAACAGCTCTTGCTGATTATTAAATGATTCCATTTGAATTTTCATTCGTTTCTCCTCTATCTCCACTCTTCATTCTTCCAATTATATTCTCTGTTTTCTATCACGTAAAGCAAGTTTGCATTGCAGCTCGTAATTACGGTCGTTTTTTTTTAATTTAAGTATTGTACCGTATTTTGTTTCATTCCAGGAGTAGTAGACTTTCAAAATTATAGAAAGTATTAATGTTGACGGTTGACAGTCAATGCAAGGAAAAACTGTTATAAAACAAAACGGGAGTGATAAGTGTGATTAAGAACCACCACATTCTTGGCATCGTCTCAGCAAAGAGTTGCTAGTTTCCCGAGAGTACTTAAGGTACCATATAAATAGCTATTAAAATTTACTTACGTTTTCTACCAAAGAAGCACATGCTTTGTCCCTAAAATTAAAACCTTTCTGTAAAGAAGTTTTGCCTTTTTCAAGTAACCGTTTGGTGTTAACTTACTTTTATTCAATGCGTTTTTCTTTAGCAGTTCGCTAATTTGCTGCAATAAGTCGTCCAAATCGGTTACTTTAATTTCTATTCCTGGTCTAAAAATAAGACAAGGTTGCAAAATTAAATTTAAGTTTATACAAATCTTAAAAATAAAAAAAAATACTATTATTATATACATTTACCTTAACTGTCAGGCTGTACTTTTTTAGTAAATTTTGAACCCTCTCCCTAAAAGTTCTAATGCTTAAAGTTGTTTCCGTAATTTCAATCATGTTTCCCTGAATAATATTCTATCTTTTTGGATCCTCATAAGAATTTTGTCCATACACTTCATCTACGTAAAACTAAATGTGCTACACTTATTAAAAATGTTATTCCACCATTGCTACTAGTAGATTTAATAAAAGATATTGGAAGCTCAAAATATTCCATCATAACAGATGAGCCGACCGATGTTTCTACAGAGAAATTACTCTCTATTTGTGCTAAATATAATCCGCAGTCAAAAAATGATATAGTTACTGAGTTTCTGGCGTTTGTAAGCGTTGTTATTACTACTGCCAATGACTTGTTCAGCGCATTTGTAGAATATTTAAAAAACTTAATCTATATCTGCAAAATCTTATAGGAATTGTTACTGATGGGACATCCAATTTATGTGGGGTAAATAATTCAGTTTATACCCTATTAAAAAATAGTTTGGGTTTAACAGGTTCGCTGCCAACTCCGCATATATGCGGAGGTGGCGTCGCGCGTAGTATGCCGGTCCCGCGTATGTGCGGACCACTTCGCTTTGGTTTGTATTTAGCTTTTCCTCGCTAGCCGCGGGCTTGGTGTGTCGTTTATGGTTTGGCACTGCGGTTGGGCATTTCAAAAATACATAGCACTTGGCGGTTTCCTATTTTTGTAATTTGTTCGTTAATTTTTGCACTGTTTAATTTATATTGTACAATTAGTGGTGGGATCGCATTTAGCGTGTTTTTTATAGTTTTGCAATGTGAATGTACGGTAAAAAATAGCTAGGAGATCGTAGTTATTCTAATATATTGTTTGTGAATTTAATGTCGTACTTATAGCTAGCCTTTGTGTGTCGTGTATGATTTCGCCCTGCGGTTGGACGTTTTGCAAATACATAGCTAATTTTTGTGCTGTTTATTTCATATTGTGAATTAATGGTGAGATCGCATTTAGCGTGTTCTTTATAGTTTTGCACTGTGAATGTACGGTAAAAGAATAGGTAAGAGGTCGTAATTATTCTATATTGTTTGTAAATTTAACGTCGTACTTACAGGCATGGAGGGTGGCGCAGGGCCTTCTAGGCCTAAAAGAACTGAAAAAAGGTTTTACAACCTTGACGATAGCGATATTGAAGAACAGTTGTTTGGAGAACTTAGTAGTGATGAAGATTTCGATTTCGAGGACGAAGCGAGGTTGTGTGGGTGGTCTGACGAAGACGATGATGAAGAACAACTAACTGATGCTATTAATATATCTCCGTCTCCTTCTGCCGACCAACCTGAGCAGCTCAACACACCATCTACAACAGCATCCACTTCTACATGGACTACCACAGGCCAGCTGAAAAATATTGCTTTCACGAAACAAAATCAGTTTTTTGGGGATGTTGGATCGACCCCACTCGATTTTTTTAATTTCTTTTTCGAGAAACATTTTCTGGAAATGATTTGTAGGGAAACAAATGCTCAAGCCGAGAGATTATTTTTGAAGGGTGTTTTAGAGAATGCGAGAATAACTGCCTGGAGGGAATTAGCTGTTCCTGAGTTGAAAATATTCTTAGGTTTACTATTCCACATGGGCACTATACCTCTTTCCAGGCTTCAGGACTATTGGAAAACGCACAGATTATTTTCAATAACAATTTTTGGGGAACAGATGAGCAGAAATAGGTTTTTGATAATAATGAGGTGTCTTCATTTTACTTCAGATACAGAAAATGAAGACCCTTTGTACAAAATTCGTAGTGTAATTGATTATTTTAATAACAAAATGAACCAGTGTTATTATCCTGCAAAAAAGTTGTCATTGGATGAAAGCATGGTTCTGTGGAGAGGCCGTTTGAGGTTCAAACAGTTTATACAAAATAAGCGACACAAATAGGGGATAAAACTTTATATGTTGACTGAGCCTGATGGACTCATACTTAAATTTCGTGTTTATGCAGGAGGCCACGATAAGGAAGTAACGGGAAAGGGCCACGCAGAAAAGGTAGTTATGCTATTGCTAGAAGAGAAACTCCAGAATGGCCACTCAATATACATGGATAATTACTATAACAGCTTTACCTTGGCCAAACGACTATTAGATAACAACACGTACTGCACAGGAACTTTACGGAAAGATCTAAAGGAAAATCCGAAAGAAGTTATCCAAAAAACACTGAAGAAAGGTGAGAACGTGTCGCTTTTTCGTGAAGGAGTACATATAGGCAAATGGAAAGATAAACGTCCCGTAATGTACATAACCACAGAGTTTGAAGACAGGAAGGTACCGGTTACAAATAAACGAGGACAAGTTTCTGAAAAACCCGAAGGTGTTGCGAAGTATAACCAGTTCATGTCTGGAGTTGATAGACAAGACCAGCTTCTTGCGTTTTATCCTTGTGAAAGAAAAACTCTTCGTTGGTATCTAAAACTAGCCATTCATACCTTTCAACTGCTATTTATAAATTCCTACAAAATTTATAATAAGTATTCAGGTCAACCAAAAATGACTCTATATGACTATCGTCTGTCAATAATAGATAAGTTATTACCAGAGAAACGTGCCCCCGTCGTTGCTACTCTAAGCAGAGCTAGAACACAAGTGCCGCATAAAATCAGCAAAATAACTGAAAAAAATGCTAAAGGAAAACTCAAGAGGAAAATGTGTCGGATGTGTTCAAAAATAGCGAAGAAACGGAAAGACACCATCTGGCACTGTGAAATGTGTAACGAAAAGCCTGGTCTATGCTTCGAATGTTTCGATGCATATCATTCTTCACTTTGAAGTTATTCTATTTTATTTTATCAAAGCTGTACTTTTGTTTTTTGTGATGAAGTCTTTTATGTTCCTTTATATAACATTTTTTTTTTTTGAATTGGCTTTTCATTCTAAAATGTTTCACGAATATGTTTGTGTAACATATTATTATTTAGGAATATTTACGTTTATTTGTTTTATGTTAAATAACCAATGACTTATACTTTTATAATAAATTACAGAGCAGTATTCTTGCTCCGCATTTTTGCGGGCCTGGCACTTGGATAGAAATTTTCAAGCCAGGTGCCATGCCCGCACATCTGCGGAATATTTTCTTTTTTAATAAACCAAATAAAAAATTATAGAAATGTTGTCAAAGTACAACAAAAAGCATAAACGACCCGCCTTAAGGCCGAATAACTTAAAATATTGTATCGGATTTTCTCACTCCATACAAACATATTGATGGCAGCGAAGCTGTTAAATAACTTTATATTGGTCAAATACATTTGTCATAGTCTTCACTTATGTGCATCCAAAGCATCTGAAGTTTTTTCAGATGAAGTTGATTTTCTACTTAAGGAAACATATAATTGATTTTAGAATAGCTCTGTCAGATTAAGTAAATATAAAGATATGTTTAAGTTAATTAATACAAATTAAGATGTGGATAATAAAAAGCTTGAAAAATTAACACTACTTTCAGCAACCCGATGGTTGTCTAGAATGACTGCTATTGAAAAAATTTTAACCCAATATTTTGAAGTAGAAACTTTATTTTGTTAACGCAGGCAAAGAAAAATGTCACAATACCAAAATTTTGAGTAAAATCTACAAATATAAGAAAATAAAGTTATTTTGATGTTTATTCGGCCATTCTTGAAAAAATTTCACTTTTTAAATGAATATTTCCAAAAATCATAAAGCTTTTTTAGATATAAATACAACAATATGGTCACTAGCCAGCAAATTCGAAAGTCAAGTGTTATAAAGAACCTTAACAATGGTTAAAATTTAAAAATATATTAAGTTGAATCTATGTAGGTATGTTATATTTTTTAAAAATTATTCGTAGGCAAAGGTATTTTTAAAAAATATTTTGCTTTATTACCATATGTTATTTTTATTATTATTTTTTATTTAGTGGTAATTGTGCTACTATACCTTAATAATACGTCCGTTTTGTATTGGTTTCAATATAGCTTTTTACCATTACCAATGTAATTTTTAGGCTGCTGTTGACAGGACTTTGGAAAACTGGGATGAGTTAACATTATACTTTAGAAATAAATGTTTTAAAGAGGACCTAAATTCCACCAAATTAATTTTGAAATCATTTGAACAACCGACATATAAAATGTACTTTACTTTTTTATCCTACATTTTAGACATAATCAATAAATTAAATATAGAATTCCAGTCAGAGAAACCAAAAATTTATAATTCAACAAGGGTAAAGGTCGATTCATAAACTCGACGTTTGCTTTTGCCGATGCCGTTGGCCGTTACAGATTAAAAACATTGAAGTGAATAAGACCATTCATAGTTGCCGTTGACGGTGCCGTCTGCCGATGGGTCTGCTTTTGGTGACGTTCAACATAAACGAATTTTATCTTTTGCCGGCGGCCGTTCGTAGCGACGTTCGTAGCCTTAGCAAAGAGCCAATCAAATCACTTTCAGCTTGTCACGTGATTTTGACGCATGACATTGGAGCGGTTCTTTCTTTATTATTATTTGGCCTCCATCATATGTCCACCGTAAGTCGAAATAGTGTCAAATGTCAAAGCAACAAACAAACAAACAGACAAACAGCCATTTTGTACAGCCATTCGTTATTCGTGTATCGTTGTATTCGTTTGTCGTTTGTGTTTGCCTTTTTGCCGAGTTAATATTTATAATTGTGTTTCCCTCCTTAAACTATTAGTTTTTGTTAGTTAGTTTTTTAAGTGTAGGTAGTTATAAATTTATAAACTATAAAGTGAAAATATGAATTTCGAAATGAGCCGTTATGAATTGGAAGATGAGAATGAGGAGTCTCAGCTATCAGTGGGTAAGAAAATTTTATTAATCTGATATACCTAAGTACATAAAATAATGTAATAGACAAAATACCTCTTGTTTTCTATTTCTAAAATATTTTTTTTTATAATTTCAGAAAACTCTGAGCTTGAAAGCCAACCTACAGCTCCATCGTATGGAGAAATGGACCACGGCCTCCTTATTGAGGCAATTCAAGGTTTCCCATATATTTTTGATTTAGGGAACAAAGAATACAAAAATAATAAAAAAAAGCAACTGGCTTGGCAACAAATATCAGAGGTTGTTAATTGTAGTGGTAGGTAATTTTTCCATTGTTTGAACTTTGTAATGAAAAATTTCATGGTTTTAGTGGAGTACTGTATCAAAGTGTGGAGGAACTTGAGAGACAGGTTCCTTAAAGAGAAAAAAAAACAAGTTCAGGAGCTGAGGCCCCAGAAATAGTCTGGCCGTATTTTGAGAGAATGATGTTTTATGAAAAATATTCAAAACCACGCAAGTAAGTCTGGATTTCTTAATTAACCCATTAAAGTGGACTATAAAGTTTAATTATTATTGATTCATGGCTTTTTATTAGAACTTACACTACAACAAACAAAGAAGGCAGGAGACCATCGAGCCAGTTGTCGGGGGAAAGTAGGCCTTCCTCCTCATCTTCAGTCTGGAGTTCATATAGCCAAATTAGGTCCCCAACTGAGGTGGTAGAAGATGGGGAAACCCCAGGACCCTCGAAAAGGGCAAATACCCCAACTGAAGCCCATAAAAATATTACAACAGAAGCCCCAGGACGCTCGAAGACACCAAACACCCCAGCTGTTGGTGGGACCCCTCTTTCAGCCTTTGGTAAGAATTCTTTGGATTCTTTTATTCTAAATTAAAATACCTCTTCCTATTATTAAATATTTTCACTTATGTAAATATGTTGTTTTTTCAGGACATGACAAAAAGAGAAAAAGGGCCCAAGATATTGTCGGGGAGGTTGGACCGATTGTTGGGGTTGCCAATTCTATAATGGAACGATTAAGTAAAAAAGAACAAAATGTAAACAGCACATTTGTTGCATATGTTTATGAAGAACTCCACAAAATGAGTGAAGTGGACGCAAAAAAAAAGAAAACAAATATTAAAAATTTTATTTGATGATGAAAGTGAATAAATTTTTATAAAATATTTTAAATATTGTTTTTTTTTATTTATCCAAATTTAAGGTTTACTTACTGGCACATTTGCCTAAAATATAAAACTGAAAGATTCTAAAACATATACTACCCATGAAAGACCAAAACATGCATTTTAGAACATTTATCTGTAATTATTAAGCACTTATATCACCCCCTATAATTCCCAATAAAACTTTATTATTATCCCAAGAATTCAACCTACACTAATTTACTTCTCTTACTTGTGATTAAATATGCCCATTTGCTCAGTAATATCAATTAAATAATGTTTAATTTTGTTAATTATAGAAAAATTATGTTACCCTTCATAATTTATTAACTTCCCAATCATCACAATTTTTGAAACAAAGGCATATAGAGGGTGTTCATACATGGGGATTCAACAAATAAAAAATAGCTTAAAAATATTGAAAATTATTGCTTACATATAACTTAAAATAAAAAATGGTAGGTAAAAAGTGTGTTATTAGAATACCTAGAATTTTATAAAAAAAGGTTGATACCTACAAATTAAAATATAAAGAACAAATAAAGTATTACTGCTAAAACATAACATAAGAATACAAATTTATAATACAATCACATCAGAACAAGAAGTCAAAAACATTCGGAATTCATTTTAGTAAAAAGGTAAAACCTTAGAATAAAAAATCATGAAAAGTACATAATATATGTGCGTAAAATATACAGCCTGACCTAAAAATGAAGCACAATTTTACCTTAGGCTTAATATTTCAATAACTCTGTATAATACATTTTTAAAAGAGGTGCACTGGTAACTACACTGTTTGGAAACCACTTCACTTTTTTTAATCTGCTGTTATCACTCTCTCTTGCCAAGGAACTCGCCCTTCATCTGAGATGAAGTAGCTGGCTAATGTGTCTCTTATTCCATATATGAAACGTTTTGTTACATTAGCCCCTAGTCTACCAACAGATTGTAAAGGCTCTTGTTCTGCTCTCCAACTGCCATTTTCTTCACCGTCTCTATCTACAAAATTTGGAGGACAATATATATTTTCATGTCCTAGTTCTGACATTTCAGTTTGACAATAATTATGTAACACAACTACAGCCTTTACAATATTGTCTATGTTTTCAACTTTGGCATTAATGGTTGTCTTTAATAACCTCCACCTAGCTACAACTATCCCAAAAGTATTTTCAATAACTTGTCTAGCTCTAGATAGTCTGTAATTGAAAATTCTTTGGGTGTTTGTTAAATTTTTCCCAGGGTACGGCCTCATGATATATTGTTTTAGAGGAAACGCTTCATCCGCAACAAAGAAATGTGGTAATGAATTATTTATGCCTGGTAAGGGTTTTTCTGGGGGTATATCCATGTCACAATTCTCCATCCTCTGCCCAAACATGCTGTGCCTAAACACTCCACCATCACTTTGTGACCCATATGCGCCAATATCCACTGAAGTGAATTTATATTTGTAGTCACATGAGGCCAACAAAACTACACTAAATGTCTTTTTGTAGTTAAAAAATAATGAGCCACTTTTTGATGGAGCCTGTATATTTACATGCTTCCCATCAATACTTCCCAAGCAATGGGGAAAATTCCAACGTTCTTGAAATCCTTGGCAAATATTAAGCCACTCTTCTACAGATTCAGGAATTTTAAGGTATTGAGGACTTAAAACTTCCCATAGAGCTGCACAAGTTGAGTGTATTATGTAATGGACAGTTGAAAGTCCTATATGAAATGTCCATACAAGGGCCTGCATACTTGTACCTTGGGACAGAAACCTGAAAAATAAAAAATTGTTTTTTATTATCCTCAAAGTTTATAGTGATTACAAAAGCTTACTGAAGAGTGATGACAAGCCTTTGTTCGGGTGATATGCCGTCACTTCTGTACTGCTTGCCTATTCTAGGTTTAATTTTCAACAACAATTTTTCAAATACAGGAACTGTCATTCTAGTAAATTTGAAAAATTGTTCTTCATCCCATGTTTTCATTTTCTTGTAATATTCAAAATTTCCAGAAGATTTTCGATCCCTGTTAATTGGTCTCACTTTGAATCTTCTAGTCCTCTTCTGTTCAATTTTTTTTATTGCTATTGCACAAAAGACAAGGCCTAATGCACCCAATAAAAGATCTACTTCATTGTCCATTTTAGTTACCACATTAAATAAATTAAAACACAAAAAATAACGAATTTATCAAAAAGCAAAAGCACCACAAAAAACCAAATATCAACAAAAAAAGTAAAATTATAGGTTATATATTTTCCAAAACACCAAAAAAGAAGAAGAGAACCGCATCAACGTCAAGTTTATGAATAGGATGAATTTAAGGCTACGAACAGCAGTCGGCAATCGTCACCGGCATCGGCATTGGCAAAAACAAACGTCAAGTTTATGAATCGACCTTAAGCAATTTGTATCGAATATTATTAAGAAATTTTTTAAAAAAGAATACATCGATAAAACTAATTTAAAAGACATGGAAGTCAGTAATCCATCCAACTTTTTACCACTTGAAACAATATATTTTGGTGCAAAAACTGAACTGTTAATGGGCCAGGATGAATCTGACAAAAGCGAACTTCATAATTTTAGATTAAGAGCCCTAAACTTCTATATAAAGTTGTCAATTTAAATTAAAAAAAGTTTAATTTCGGTGATCCCGTGTTAGATTTTTTTTAAATTTTAAATCCGGAAGAGGCTGTATCTGGGGAAGTAGGAAGCATTGTAATTTCTGCTAACAAATATTTGCCAGATTTAGTTAATGATATTGAAACTTTAAATACTGAATGGAGGATGTTGGTTGAACTAAGCATTATTAAAAAAACTGACCTGAAATTTTTTGGTCAAAGATATTTTCCATGAAAAACGAACTTAATGAGCAAATGTTTCCAAGTCTAAAAAAATTAGTAGAAGGGTTACTTTCATTACCCCATTCATCAGCCGCTGCCGAACAAATGTTTTCACAAATAATACTTTTAAAAACAAAATGTAGAAATAGAAATAGAGACTTTAGATAGCATTTTACACGTAAAGGAATTATTAAGTGTTATAGTTGGGAACCTTCGGTGTCCTTATTAAAATGGAAAATTGACTACTCTGGAACAGTGGAATAATGACTTTTCATTACCTAACTATTGTTTATTTATTTACTAAAAGTTTATTTTATTGTTCTGTACATTATTTATGTAATATACTTACATACATATTTGTTAATGTTAGTCGATAGCTTTGTTGGCTGATTAAAATTTACAATTAGAGGTAGAAAGTATATATAAATTGTTTAGGTTTAGGATTTGAAATATTGCCAGGTGTGTAAAATAATTTAATCATTCACATTTTTAGTAGTACTGGGTTGAAATTAATATAATTACAATTTTTAGAAACATGAATTCAAAGAAAAGGAAAAATATATTTACGCTAAATTCGTTTTTAAAATGGAATAAAGAAAATTCGGAAGATAAAGATAAAAATGTATAAGATACTTTAAAGGCGTCCTTAACATTCGTTATCTAAGTTTTTGTGTGTCGTTTTATTATCTGTTATGTTGTTTATGTTGTTCTAGTAAATGTTTTATTTAAGGGTCTCTACAAATACAAACTCACTCCCAGTTCCTCGTATAAGTTTATGTATTCCAGTCCCTTCACGTACTTCACGATGTAAGAATAGTGAAAATAATACTTGCTCTAATACCGAGGTTAATACTTCTCTAAATCCAGAACATACGGAAGTGATGGCAAACAAGAAACAAAAATCTATATATCTTGAAGATGCTGCGTTAGATTTAGAGGATATTGTAAAATGTACTCTAGATATTTCAAATAAACATATTGATCTGATCATAGCAAATGTTCCTGAAAACTTTATGACAACATTCTTGAAGAGGTTGAGTGGTTTGTACACACCGGGTAATAAGAAATGAATCAAGAGGGTATTTAAAGTGTGTAAATATTGAGTTTTATTCAATAAAACTCTATAAAAAATTCGTTTGAGCGCTTTCGGCCTCTTAAGTCATCATCAAAGACTCTGTAAGAGAAAAACGAAGCTGTTGCAATACAATCAACTTTATCATTACTAAAAATAGAATAAAAAGACTTTGTACACTTACTCGTCAAAAAAACTTTAGAAGGCACATGAGAAGTAAACTAAATTAATAAGGGACAGCAACAGACCAGTCCCAAGTCCCCACCATAGCTTGCAGCTTAGATAATTGAAAATTTGAAAAACCACACCGACATTCGATAACTGACCCAGTGTAAAATGTGGTTAGATTTTAATAAATGAAGTGAAGGCAGCAAGATTTTGCCAATTTCTTTCGTGAGGCGAAGAGGTACAAATAATACGCACAGGGTTTTTTTAAACCAGTGACCATCTTGACAATGTACCAAAACAGAATGAGTGAGAATTGACATTTGACAATGAAGTTGTTAAGAAAAAACTTGAGAAATTGAAATGAATTTCGTGAAAAATTGTCAAAAAGGTTGATATTGAAAATGATGAAATTGGGTTGGTACCACTGAGCAAGCAATATCAAGTATGGCGGGACTTTTAAATTTTAAACAGCAAATGATTACAATGAATTAAATTAGAATTATAAATTATACAGTAAATGAAGGTAAAAAACATTTTTTTTTTAATTTAAAAATTAAAAAGGTGCCAAGCTGAAAACAACAGAATTGAGCAGGCCGGCCCCAGCTAAACCGAAGTCGAAATCAGCAATCGCTGGAAAAGACAAGGTCAATTCCGCTGCAAAGAAGATTCAAGGCGAAGCTGACTAGGCAACTTCAGACCAACCATTCCCAATACTCTTAAAGAGAGGAGGCACTTTGCTATTGAGATGGATTTGAGCGTTAACACATGTGACATTTGTTTTATTAAACTCTCTGTGTATCTCAAGGTCTTCAAGTAGATTTAGTTTAAAGTTGCAATTAAAAATATTATGAAGAACAGTAACATTCTCAGAAGGAGTAAAGTTAT